TGTGTATGTGTGTGGGTTCATGCATGCAAGCTGTAACTTAGCTGTCTTTGCAGAAGAGTTTAAAGACCAACATGTTATTCTAGTTTTCTTATTCATAGGTTAAACCAAAGGTTAAACCAAAAATATAGCAATGGGTACCACTTCATTACAGAAACAATGAACACTGAACATCTGTGTTATTTTCCACCGGCGAAGCCCAAGACTTGGCTCAAGTCATTAATAATTCAAGAATTCAAGATTCTGACTTGATGCATATCATCTGTCATCATTATCTCAGTGTTGAATGACACCTTGCATCCATCTGGCCTTGATACTATTCATAAAAATAAGTCATGCTAATGGCCCATGAATTCAAGACTTTCTTTCACTCTATAAATAAAGTTTAAGCTGTTGCCATTATTTCCGACTATTCACTTTCCCTTCGGTTATCTTTGAGTCTCAGGTTCAAAGTTCTATGCACAGCTTTAAGATCCATGTCGATGTTACTCCAGGTTTCACTATGGTGCTGTCTTAGGATAATCACTGCCCACAGGATGATGGGTGAAAAATTAAGTCTCTGTCTTCAGAGCATCACTTGACATCTAAAGTCAAACTACGGCAGCTCAGTGCCAGTGCCACAATAACCATGTCAAAATGGTGAAGGGCCATGAGCGATTTACTCAGAGGTTGCATCCATGGAGAATCCTCTCATTACACAAAGAGGCTTCCATCCTGGTGGATTGATTCTCAAACTCTGTTTTAGGAATTTAGGAAAAACATTACAACCAGTTTCACACTTAATTAACCAAAGAGAACATATATAGTTGGTTCATGTACTTGATACAGCTTGTTAAGAGAAAAACCCTCTCAAGAAACATGATGAAGTGATCTTTGATTAGCTGAACTCCAATGGAGCTGCTGTCAGCAATCTAAACCACAGAACATTATTCAAGCTTTGAGCAGAATAAACCCAGACTGAAATGGCACACAATCTTAATAAAGTGTGACACTAACGGTTGCATGCACAGCATGACAGCTTCTCCTCCCTCGTGACAGACAAAGTTGTCCATTCATTTTGGGGGCTGATCCATCCAAATTGGAGCTGGACCTCCTTCTTGAGGTTACCTGTACACTCAGGTTAGTGCAGAATATTGTCAGGGTTATGAGGGAGCCACCATCCAAGCTTGATCAACAAACTGAGGAGTTGTCTCTAAGGAAGTAATGACTATGCCACTAATTTTTGTCTAAGCACTGAAAAAAGACAAGAGTGCTGAGACTAGATGAAGTAAGTCAGGCTGCTGTGTTCTTGGCCTCCGGGGTTATGAACTTATTAGGCTGCAAGAACAGCTGCATTGTTGGAGCAGTTATTCTGATAACAACCCACATCATATTTCTTCCTGGAAAAGCACGGATTGACAGTCATTCAGTCTGCCCACATTAGTCAGCAAAACTCAACTACAGATATATTCCTTTGTCCTGTCTTGAGAGTGTAACTTGTGTTTGCCATTGACTTACAGTAAGGAAGGAACTGAGGTGTATCTTTGAAGGGTACCTCACATTGTCTTCACTTTCACAGAAGAAACAGTCTCGCACATGGACCTGAGACCTGAAGGTCTGTGGTTTGTTCCCTCAAAAGATAAAACTGAAGTTTCACTTATGTGAGTGAACAGAAGAGGAGAGGCAAACAGGGCTGTTACCCATTGCGTTTACATACACTCTGGTAATTCGATCAAGTAAGGCAATACTCAGATTACTGTGACTGTCATACAAACATCTTAACAAAGTTATCTTACTTACATTAAGGTCGTAATCGAAGTAAGCACAACTCAATTTACAGTGATGGATTACACATTGATCTTTCAAATGACTCAGCGTGTATTTACCATGGAGCCTGCTGTTTTTTCTGTGTTGATTTTCCACAAAAATCAGAGTGACCTAGACCTGGACCTATGCTGATGTCACCTCACACATTACTTTTTACACATTTGCATTTGTATAATTCTTCTTTTCACTTCATATTTATTCTGATTCTGCCATCGATTGCGAGATGTGTTTGAATAAAGAGCCATGAGTTGAGCAGATGTGGAAAAATGAAGCAAATGCATTTCTAATTACAACAACCACTGCATGTAACACAGGTTGCATTGAGGTGATGTGTAAAATAATCAACACAAATGTGCCACAATTTTACTACTACATTCATATTTCCAGTTTCACTGTAGGTCTTCACAGATCCTCATGGGGAGTAGACAGTGGTAGAGATATATCCCTATTAAAATCATGAGAAATATAACATGAATTATGTTGTGGCACTATTAATTAGTAGCCCTCTGAACGATGGAAAAAGGAATGCTAAAAGGTAAATTATGCAATTCCTCTCCAAGTTGAGTGGCAGAAAGAGAAACCACCTCCTGTTTCGTGCAGCAGTTTTCATCCTAACTGGCACCTCTGTCAGTCACATGGCAGCATCAGGCTAACAACTAATAAATCACTGCTACTAAGTGAGCCTTTCCTTTCACTGCTTGGAAACAACAACCGGGCTAATTTATAACCAGAGGAGGCATGAGGGAAACGCTAAAATTGGCTGTGGAGGTCAGAAAGGTTATCTGGCGACATGTCTTCACAAAGCACTGTAGCCCTTTGTTTCAGAACCTGTGCTACTATGAAATTCGGAATCTTTATAACTCACCTAAAATATGTTGCTTTATAATGTGGTATTTAGAAATGTAAAAGATTAATATCACTGCTGATGAAATATATAAACAATAGACACAACTGCAAATTCCGGTGCTAAAAATGACTTAACTCACAAAAATAATTGTTATCAGCCTCTCTTAGCTGAACAGAGCACACACAGCTAGCACAAATATGTTGCTGGGTTCAATTCAAATATTTTGATTATTCTTATTTGTTTAAGTGCTGAGACTATGAGAGAAAAGATGTGAAAGAGCTGTTGATCCACAGGGAAGTAATCCACAAATTCATCCTCTCGGTCCCAGTGCTGAGCAGGCAGTCTATCTTGCTATATGCAGTCATATTACATTGTAGAAGGTGAAACAGAATCCACCTTTACCAAGGATACAACTTTTTGACAGTAACTTTACGAGTCCTCATTAAGGTGTGCAGTTGTGCTGCTTCATTACAGTGTGACCCACATGCCTGAAATAGAGAACTAGATTTGTGCAGCAGACACGGTTTGTGTGTATTTATAAAATAGTAATAGCAGTGACTGAAATTCAGCAAAGCTTCCTCACATATTCTCAGTTCAACAGACATGCTGCTCAGAGAGCAGACCAATAATACATTCATACAGGCACAACTCAACATTTTTTTCATCCTTTAAAAATCTTCCTTTAAAACCACCTTTCACAGGAGATATAAGTCCATTAAAACTGGTCGAGACACTTCATTCCCATGCCACTGAGATGTGTAATGAATGGAGGGAGCAAGGGAGGCCCAAAATGAGGCAGTCAGAGAGACGGCTTCTGATTTCCTCAAAGAGACGAGGGAGTGAGGTCAAAACCCCAAACTGCCAATGAACCATCAAGGTGAGACACATAAATCAAAGCTCTGAAGTTCAATAGCTTCCTAAAAGGAGTTCACTGACTCACTTAACTCAGCTCACTTCCCACACTTGCACACACAAGTGCATTTTGGGTGCTAATATGTATAAGTGAAAAATCTATTCAGAGGTAATACCACTAACTATTGTCCCTCTGAAAAGTGTGGTTTATAGAAATGTATATAAATTCAAGAAAATAATACTTTATGTTGAGTTTTTTTAAGCAGGAATGGTTGGTTACTGAACACATTGTTTTCTTTTGTCTATGGCCAGCTAGAATATACAATGATCTGCTTACAGACATAATAAATACAAGGATATTAGCTAAAATTAATTATTAATTATCTGAAAATTCATGGGGAAACTTGCAACATTTCCTCATCACCAATGTTGAAGGACAATCTACCATAGCTTCCAATAAAAACAATGAAAAAGGTGTAAACATCAAGTCTAGTGTTCGAGAAGTAATAACATTGATTACATAATTAAGTTTTTTAATGAACCTGCAATAACGCATGAGTTTACACTGGCATCAGTATCTACCAGGAACTGTTTCAAAATTCTACGGGGATGAGCCAACAGCTAATAATCTGCAACAAACAGATTATCAACAACAGCATCCACAAAATCTGAATCCATGAAGAAAAGCATTGTGGGCTGATGAAATCTGGATCAAGGCTTAGGCGACAAAAATGTGAACTTGGAGTCTTAAAGTTCTGTCAGATTTCTTTATTAAATCTATGTTATCAAGACATTTCTCATCTTGTTGTTCTGCTTGTATTATTTCTGTAAAAGATATATGAGACTGTTCCAGTAATGAAACAGTTTTGTCAGATGGTGAGGGAGATGGTGAGTAAAACTTTGATGTTCAATGTCTCAAAGCTGCAATCCACCCACACCTAAAAAATTCCAGGCTCATAAAAAAGTGAAACCACTGAGTAACTGATCAGTTTTATCAGCTACATAAATGGCCTCCATAGCTGACAGCTGAAACATATACAGTAGCTGTTTCCAGGATTTAAAACAGGCACAAGTTTTGCGGTGACAATGTCATACTAAAAAGTTTTCAGAGCTATTGTGCTGCATGGGCCAAGTGCCATTCTCTTTGACCTCTCCAAATTCCCTTCCCCCAGTCGGCCTCCACTCCACCTCCCTCCTCGCTCTACCTTGACCCTCAAAACTTACAAATTCAAAAGCACAAAGCCTTTCTTATCCCTACAGCTAGTAAATTAATTGTAACACTGAACCGTGAACTTGAACCTTTTGAAGAAGAGTTGAAGAAAAAACAGAACCATGCGTCAAACAATTAAAAAAAACCTCATAATAGGTAACAGTTGGGAACATATGAATCAAAAGCAAAGAGGAATTAAAAACACTGCTGAAAATTCAGGCATACAGGGAATCTTTGGGAGCACAGAACTTCCAAAAAGTACTGAGAGAGAAAGAAAGAAGCACTTACCACATAGATCCCGACATCTGAGCCAAAGAATGAAAGATTCCTCTCTTGTCTATCTCCGATCCACTTCCATTTTTCTGAGCTCCCATATGGCACCCCCACCCCTCCGAGAGGCAGAAGCAGAGAGTGCGACAGAGGGAGGGAGAGAGTGAGAGAGAGAGAGAGAGAGAGAGAGAGAGAGAGAGAGAGAGAGAGGGAGAGGGAGAGGGAGAGGGGGGCATTAGTCCTGGTGTGGAGATGGAGGGGACTGTTGCAGCTGTGCAACCCCGTCAGTATCTCCTCAAATCCAATCCTCCCCTCAATGTGTGTCTGCAGCACCGCGGAAAAAGGCAACGGAAACAAAGTGATCCTCTTACACACAGCCCAGAGAAAGAGAGAGAGACGAACAGGGAGAGGGCGAGGGAGGGAGAAAGAGAGAGAGAGAGAAAGAAACATGCACAGGGACCGGCAAGGAAAGAAAACAAGCAAGCTAGTTAGAGGGCCAAGGCAGCTGGAGAAAAGCAGGTTCAAGTTTTCAGCGTTTCCTTTACTTTGTCGAAGAACTCTGCCTGCCGAATGGGAGGGAACAAGTGGGAGCTTCTAGGAAGGCAAGGAAATAGTGCATAATACCTTCCAGCTTCTTTCTACCCCCACTTCTCCCTCCCCCCCTCTCTTTTCTTTTCTCTCACTCTCTATCACTCTTTCTCTCTGTGTCTCTCTCTCTCTCTCTCTCTCTCTGGTAATAAGCTTGGCTAAAACAACCCCCCTCCTTTGGGCGCTGGAATGCAAGGCAAGAGTTTCAAGAGGCCCAGTTAGACAACCCTCAGAGTCACTGCACCTTGACCTTCGGGTCAGACACAGTGTGTGTGTGTGTGTGTGTGTGCAGAAGAGGCGGGGAGCTTTAGTTGTGTCTGTGTATACAAAAATTTGGGGGGCCAGCTTTAACTCATGAGATCATATAACCATACCCGGACAGCCACTTGACAGAGTTAATACTGTAGGACATTTACACCGCTGTAGTAAGTCACAATCAATCTAACACCGACTGCTCATACATGCACACACTGACTGCCTTCATTCCATTATAGTAACTGAATTAAAATGGACTGGTTGTTAACTGACCCTTATTTTCCACTTTTAAAATGTACTTTCTGTTCGTTTGTGGTTTCATTCATTTGAAGAAGTTGTTTTATGTAAATGTGCCACAGTACTAGAGACTGCAGTGTTTGTGACATTACAGAATCATGTCCAATCATACTGCTTTACAACAACACTCTGCGCTGCCTCGTTGAGGCATATAGTGCATTTTCCTTACATCAATTTCATGATTTTTTTTCTGTATAGAAAATGAGCTCAACGTAAAAAAAATAAGATAATACTATAATAGATCAACAGAAGGAAGATAACGCTGACATCACCTAACATCATTTGTGTCTTATGATAGAGTTGACAACACATTCAAACACTTCATTGGGTCCATTTTAGAATTTCAGGCAGTGTCAGACACAGCTAGAGCTGAAGCTTTCAAAAGTTTATCCATGTTTTGGTTTTTTCAGATTTCAGATTAGTGGCAGTTAAACCAATGCAACTGGACTTGGTTTTTGTTTGGACACTCTGCTGAAACAAGTGTTTAAATCCCTCCAATCAGGCAGGTGTGCGTCATTTGAATCAGGGAAGCTGGTACTATCTGCCAGTCAGGGCTCAGTATTGTAACTGCTCTGCATGTAAAAACCTATTCTTCAAATTCATTCAAGTGTCTCAGCTAATACGGGTCCCTCCTGCCCTTTCTCTCTCTCTGTCTGTTTGTCTGTCTCTCTTTCTCCCTCCCGCTCTTGCAAACACACACACACATACACACACACACACACACACACACACACACACACAGAAACTCCCCATCAGTACATACCTTTCAGCAAAGTGAAACCTTTACCTACAATTATACTGAACACTCTTCAACTGACTTAGCACATTATGTCATTTTCTTTTGCAAGTTTGATATATACACAGTACATTTTATTTTAAGTTTCAAATCATGCCCCCATGTTGTTAGCTTTTAGGCATTTTAAAATGAATGAAATACTTAATTTTATACTTAAGAATATTGTAATAAAAAATAATATTAGGAAAATAAAAACACCTTGTCACATACACTTCAACAACTCGGTGATATGATATGATGATGATGATGAAATGATATGATGATGGAAACCAGTAGACCTGATCACTTACCAGCTGGAAAGTCATATTTCTGCCTCAGTCGGTCTGGAGCCAGCAGGGTGGTTCTGACAGGAAGATCCTGTTAAAGTATAATATACATTATGTATCCACTTCCAAGACCTAGCCGGGCCTATATGATGAAGCAAGATATAATGAGGTGATAGATCCCACATAAAAGAAGATATCTTGCCCAAAAGGATGTTAGATATGTTTTTCTGAGTGTTAAAAAAATATATCATAGATGAAAATTTATTCTAAAGATTGTAAAACAGTACAATCAGTACTATTACATTTGTAAATATATTTTTTACATTTCTTTACCCCTCCCAATGTAATAATGAATACTTAAAAGAAAGAAAACTGCATTTATAAAATGGTATTAGCCACACAGGGCAGAGGGCTGCTCTCAGTTAACTATTAATAACTGTTTAGTTATTTTACTGAAATTTCAAATTTTCATTTACATGATCTCATATCAAGCTCGTCCCCTCCTATCACCTCTCTTAAGTCTTTGCAATGTCTAGAAATATAAGTGGTTATCTGAGGGGTTTTATTACAGAAAATAAACACAATGCAAGATTTCTAGTGAGTCATAAATGTTATATATACATATACATATACACATACACACTACAGTCATCAGTGAAGTGGAGGTGAAATTCCTCAGAGCTCCATCTTGGGCCTCCTTCTGTCCTGACTTTAGCTGCTTCCTCTGAGTTATTTTATTCATAAAAAGCATGTGTTTTTCCAGTATTGTTCTGCTGACAGTCACTTCTATTCACCTTTAAACCAAACTGACAGCCATGAACTGTGGACACTGAATGAATGGTCAGATTCTCATACCTATATTACACAAGAACAAAGCTCTCTATTCTTTTCTGGTAAAAAGCTTTGGAATGCACCATGTGTGTTACAGATGGAAACTTCTTTTGCTTGTTACAATGCAAAGTACAATGCATCTTACTGGAAATCTAACAGAAAAAAACTCATGATGTTATTGTTAATGAAACGTACCAAATCCCTGTCTGGTTTATTTATGAAGTCATTCACAGTTTTTAGTTCCTGAATTCCATTTGACAGCTTGGCTTGCAAACAATGTGTGCAAATCCGCTTTCCCACTGAAAAAACAAACATACTGTGGCCACTGACCACACCAGTATAGATCATGCTATATTGGTATCACTATCACCTTCACAGATAAACCCATGTATATCAATATTTATTTCACTGTACCTGCATTGTTAGGAAGCAGCTCAGTTTTCCTCCTGTCAGCTGCAGGTCTTTTTCACAGCTTAAACTTTGCCATGTCATAGCAGGAAAAAACAGATATTAATAACAAATTAATGATGGCTAAATTCCATTTAGCTGTTCCTTAGTTCTTTAGCTTTTTCCTAACCCCATGATACCTTGTGTGAAATATAAGAATGACTTCTGGTTATTCCTTTCACTAAACCAGCATCTGGGAAAACTGGCAGTGTCTTCACCTTTCTTAAGAGTTTTTTGGGAAAAAAAATTATGGGAACACAACCTGTCACATGTTTAGTGGGTGGTCACCATTACACGGTTTGTTGATTTTTCAACTGTAAGACATCTCAGTGAATTTGTGTCTTGGTCACAATTCTTTATGTGAGAGATTCATGTCAAGAAATTTGTTTATCATATATATATTTATTCTATACTATTGGTCTATTTTTTTAAACTACCAACTATCGATATCAGTATTGGCCTCAAACAGCCGGTATCTCCCCATATGTCCTAAGTAAGCCATGACAGTGTGTCAGCGAGCCAGCACATACAATACCAACTTCATTAAATTAAAGAAGTAACATGGAATTCAGACATCATTAATTTTAGAATTTACATTTGCGCTTTTCCTACTGTGACAAGTCAAAATAGTTTCTGTGACAAAATATGCATATTTGCTCACTAGATAAAACAGGAACTCTATTAATTTTATTAGTTGCCCCTGTTCTTGTTTATTCATATTTTTTTTTGCTTTGAATTGTAAAAACCTAATGTTAACAGATTATAAATTTGGAAGCCTTTAAAATGCAATATTTCCACATACTGATGTAATGATTAAAAAACAAAACTGCCCTACAATGTTCTAACTGTAACAAGTCCTTCTCATCAAACTCTGCACAAATACGTCTTGTTACAGAACATACAATATACAACATCAGTCATAATTTAAACTTGATGTTAAAGATCGCATCACGTAAGACAGTCAAGTTTTCACCCTACAGAGTCCATAATACTTTAACATGACCATGATTCAGTTCCTTCATACTTTAACTAAAGATTACTGGGAAATACTTCTTCGAAATCTATTTTAAGTTTGTTTTCCCGTAGTGTTCATCCTGTTTCTTACTCAGTGCTACTTCTCAAAATGTGTTTACCTTTCTGCCACTCCTTGTGAACTTCATTTAGATCAAGACATTTATGAGTCAGCTTAAATCAAATCCTCTTCAGCCCTGTAATTTCAAAACGGGTGAATATGACTTTAAAAGGCCTGGTCAGAGGGGGCTGAGCTTGAGGTGCAGGAGATGTGCAGTGAGGTTTTCAGCTCTAATGCTGCTGGCTGGTGTGTTGTTTTTCTCCTTCCTATTCTTATTCTTCTTTTAACACTACAGGCAGCCCAGATGCATCCCAAGCCTGCTGCTGCCCTCCACAGGTAATAAACAGACATATCTTTTCAATTACTGTTCAGTGAGACCAAATTGTAAAAAGTCTAAGCATTTCAGAAGCCGTGTATTTTCTCTGCAAGATCTGGGAATTTAAACATCATTTATTTTTGTTTTTAAAAAAGTGCTTCAGTCATATTTATATGCTTCTAAGAATTTGTGTTTTGATACGAATTTAA